TCTCATCTTCCAGCAAGATCTTCTTTTCACGAAAGTCTATAACTTTGTCCTTGAAGACAAAGCACTTCTCCAGAAGGTGGCTCACAAGTCGATAGTATTTGCAGTAATTTGGGTCATTCGTTTTCCCAACTTTATTTGGTCGCTTCATCTCCGGAAGATCAATGAGATTTAACTCGAGGAGTTCTTCAAAAATAACTGTCACATCAGAATCCAGAAATGGGTACTCATTCTCTTGCATTTCTTTTAGAGTCAACTTTCCACTTGTTTTATCTTGAAAAGAAGTGGATTTCATACTCTGCTTCTTGCTCACCTTCGTCGTGAACTTCATAGGTGATGTGTTGACATTTATAGCTTCTTTGTTTTCAGACTTAGGTATGAACTTTCTCTATTTCCAGACTTCTTGTTTGTTGTTCGCTTTGCGAGGTTCATAGATAGGCAGCCCTTCATTTCCAGCGGAGGCCATGCTCAATTTCATGTCATGGGAACGAGTTGCAAGTTCTTCAAATGTGCTAGGCTTGATACCTTGAAAGATGTAGCGCAATCCCCAATACATGTCTTGGATGCACATCTCTATGCCAGAAGCTTCACTAAGCCTCTCCTTGCATTGAGGTTTGCATTCCTCCAACGATTGATAAAGTCAATAACTGGTTCACCCTTTCATTGACGAGTATTTATAAGTTCTATCATACTCATAGTACGTCTCGTTCTATAAAAGTGATCGAGGAACTCTTGATCTAGTTGATGCCAACTATCAATAAATTCAGCCTCGAGGTCTGTCTACCAATCAAAAGCATTTCCTTTTACTGAGCGGACAAACTGCTTGACGAGGTAATCTCCATAAGTCCCAACATTGTTGCACGTCTCAACGAAGTGTGCCACATGTTGCTTTGGATTGCATTTCCATCAAACTGTTAAAATTTTGGAGGTTGATAGCCAGTAGGCATCTTCAACATATTGATCCTTCAAGTGTACAACTTTGCGTAGGTAAGGGAGGAGTTGGAAGCAACTTCATATTTGTTTTTTATAGTACCTTTAATAAACTCATTTAGTTGATTGATTGGAATCATCCCCTCCGAAGAGACTGGAATTTCCTTCGTGGATGCAACTTCTCGAGGGGGAGGATCAATCTCTTGAACTTCTGGGAGCTAGCGAGGTGCATGGGTGGATTCTTCTTCCATCAAGATTCCCACCTTGTATGTTACCTTGTCAATTCTAGCATCTTGATTTTGCATGTGTTTGGTCAAGCTAGTGATTGCTTCCGTCAAGTTTGCCAACTGCTCCTCCACAGATAAAGCGTTTATCACCATAACTTGCATGATTGTTGTGGACGATGAGGAGTATTCTTGATTGGCTCACGTTATGCGATGTAAGTGGGGAGGATCCATCACTTGAATTATCACCATCTTCCTTCACAGCAAAGTTCTTGGATCTGAAAAGGTCCAGTGGAGCTAGAGTTTTCTTAATCTTTTCAGCAATATCGCTTCCTCTTTTAGGTATGTTTGTAGAAGATCTCGCTCCTTTTGAGGATGAAGATCCAAAAATAGGGGCTGATGCGAAGGACACTTGGGGTGCTTGTATCCTAATGAGCTTGCTTTGCTCCTCGTAACCGGTCCAAAGATTCCAAAGATAACATTGAGGATGCTTTCCACATCAGCATATAACCTGGAATTAGCAGCCATGGGTGGAAGTTGATCTGGAGTTGATTTTCTTTGAAGTCATTTTGATGTTCTAGAACTTTGGTGATTCAAAAGTTGAGATGAGATGAGATGTAGAGATTATCCCACCGGGCATGCCAGAATTTGTAGACAATAAAATTGCATCAAGAAAATAATCGAGACTGAATATATTACAACAATCGTAGTATTTGATTTCAAATAATATGAGTGTATAATCTCTTTGAATTCTCTAATTCCTCTTTCCAATAGTAAATAAATTCAAGAGCCTTTGAGCTTGATCTTGAATTCAACTAGCACGAGCTTTGATTTGGACTCGTACTCCTTGAATCTTGAGCTTGATGTTAATTTTTTGAACCTGAAATTGATTGCTTGGAGGTTGAAACTTGCGGAAGAATTTGTTGCGTTTGATCCACGAGCTCTCTCTTGCTTCTAGTTATAACTTCTATTCTCTTTTTCGAGTTATGAATACCCCAATTTATAGTTGTGGGATGAAAGAGTTGTGACGAGAACAAACTCTTTTCGACCAATCAGATTGAAGAGTGACAAGGCCGCATTTGATTGGCCATAACATGTCACTTGCACATGTGGCGCGGTTTCATTTGCCTTGGCATGCCTTGTCATTTTGACACGTGGCATGATCCTATTGTCTCTCCCGTTTGACTTGGCGTACCACATCATTTGGCACGTGGCACCAATCTGGGCCTCTAGGAGGATGACATAATTGGCCTAATGTACGTAAATGTCCATTTATATAATGTCCATTTATATAATCAAGAAAAAATTCAATTTTTTTTGAAAATTACCCTTATGTACGTATCCCTAAAAAGTCATTTACTCCTCACATTTGAGAAAAGAAGTGAATACTACTATAACTATGGTGCAACATTTAATGAAGGGTAGTTTAGTCACACTAACTATTTTCGTCTAGAATTTAGTATTTCCTTAATGGATGTGCCCAAAGCAAATTAGTCACTTATTGTGGACCGAGGAGTATCTCCCTAAGGTTCTATGAACTATAACTCTCAATCTTTTAACCGATTTAATCATCTTTTTTCACTAATATTTTTTCCTTTCGTTAGACTAATTTGATAAGTACTACTCCTATATATTTTACTTTTCTCCGTTTCTTCGACATTAACCTATTGTTCATTTGGATAGTGAATATAAAATGTTTCAAAAAAATCGATGATATTCTTTATTGACTATACACAATTTTATATATATATATATATATATATATATATATATATATATATAATACATTCATCGCCTATTTTTAATTTAAGAAATTATATGAACAACTATTTGTATTAATTCTTCAAAAAAGAAAAGACTTTGAGGTGAAACGCGAAAATTTATCTTTCGGCCTCAAACAACTTGTTTTGGATTTCTGAGGTCATGGATTGGATAAAATATGGGCTTTACACATTCCTACTTTAATGGGCTTATAGGTAGCCTACGCAGCCCATTATGTTGTGAGTTTTTTTTTTTTTTGGTGACATTCAAAAATAGCTAGATTTACAAGTGGTAATTGAAAGATAGCCACGCCACAATATTAACAGTAATCAAAATTTAGCCACTTTTCATGTAAAGATAAATCTGAACAAAACACTGTTCAAAATCCGGAAAATATTCCAGCATAATATGCTGGAGTTCGAATTTTTTACATGTGAACTTCTAGCATAACATGCTGGAGTTTCATAATGTGCTGGAATTCCAGCATAATATGCTAGAAGTTTATATACAAGTGCTTCAATCTCCAGTATATTATGCTGGAGCTTTCCGTGTATGCTGGAGTTCCAGCATAATATGCTGGAAGTTCATATACAGGTGCTCCAATCTCCGTGTTGTAGCAAAATAGTGACTATTTTTCAATGACTTTATTTGTTCAATTCTTCAAATTGTGAAAATGATACCACTTACAACTACAATAAGTTATTTATTTGTTCATTTCTTCAAATTGTGACACCGCTTATAAAAAATTCTGCGTACGCCATTAATTTTAACCATGTTTTTGGCTGGAAAAGGTTGTAGTTCTGATCTTCAATTATGTAGTAGGCACATTTAACCCCAAATAGACCCACATGTAGATTTCGATTCTACTAACCATTAAGTCGTTAGTTAGACGTAACACGTAAGTTATCATTTTTATCAAGTTACAAGTTAATTAGTAGTAAATTTATCATAAAGATTTATATTTTTTTTTGGTAAGAGGGGAAACCCGCAGCCGCTACAACCTCTGCCACAGCCTCTGCCCTTCGGGTGAGCACTTTGTGCGCACTGGGTAAACCTCCCCTTGTGTAATAGCCTGCAAACCACACAGAGATGTAAACCGCACTAGGCAAACCCTGTGCGACAGGCTCTACCCAGAAGGCATCGAGGGGAGATTCGATCCCAGGCCATCCATATGGATTACCACCCTCCAAACCAACTGGGCAACCCCGATGAGTAAAGATTTACATTTTATTACGTATCTTAAACAATTTGATTGTGCAAAATGTTTATTCAGTTTATTTTAGTTACAATATTGACAATTCATAGTAGAATTTTAAGTTTTTAACAAACTCACAACCATTAACAAACCAAATAAAATGGGAATTGAAAATCAATTCATTCTGATCTGTCCTTGTAGAGAACAACTTTAGCGCTGGTTTTCGAACAACTTATCAGTTAAGCAAATCATCATCCGAATAAAAGACACTCATGTGCAAAGTTAACTCCATCTCACTCTCCCAAAAACTTTAATTTCCTAGCTTTTTCTCTCTATGCAAGATAAGAATATCATGTAATTTATTACCTGCACTAATCATCACTCCTTCTACGAAATCTTTGATATTATAAAGACTTTCCTGGCTTGCTCTCTGCATGCAAGATAAGAATATTCATATATGCAATCACCATCCAAACTTTAGCCTTTTTAGAAAGCCTTCTACTCTATATAAAATTGTTATCAGATAAAAATGGAAAGTACAACTCCATAAGATCTAATGAGTTTCATGCAAGAAATCAGAAAGCTAGCACCTTTCAACAAAGCACAAATAAACGGAGCTGTTTTCCCTTTAAAAAACTGTAGCTTCGTTATAATTCTTTGCACCTTTTCTTTTTTCCCATATAAAACTATAGCTCAACATTCTTCTGACAACAAGTCCAAATCCAAAACTAAGTTCCACAACCACTCTTCCCCGCCCACAACCGCCACGCGCCGCTATGCCACGTCATAATCCCGTTAGCCTATGTAGGTGCATAGCCATTGCAATCTTAACCCTAATCATCATCGTTGGAATAACCGTTCTCATCATATGGCTAGCATTAAAACCCCGAAAAATGGTCTATTCTATCGAAAATACTTCAGTTCATAACTACAACTTAACCAACAATGACCATTTAAATGCCAACTTCAAATTCGGATTACGAGCCTATAATCCCAACAAGAGAATTTCCATATATTACGACAACATTGAAGTGAAACTCTTCTTTAACTATCAACCAATTTCTTCTAATGATGTTGAACCATTTTTTCAGCCTCATAGAAATGTGACACGTTTGGATCTTTCACTTCCGGCGAAAGACGTGGTACTTTACGACGACATTGCGCGTGAATTTAAGACAGAAAGAAGTGCTGGGGTTGTGGAAGTTGAGGTGAAAATTAGGGCAAAGATAAGGTTTAAAGTTGGAGTATGGAAATCAGGTCATAGGACGTTGAAGATTTTGTGTACTCCTAAGGTGTCTTTTTCTAATTATAGAAGGAGTTCTAAGTCTTATCCTTGTGATGTAGATTTATAAGCTGCTTTTAATTTTTTTATTTTTTGTTTTCTCATTTTTTTGCGATTTATGGTGTGATTTTTTTCTTCTTCTTTTGTTTGGTTTGGGATCTTTGTTTTTTTGGGGTTTATAATGAATTATTGTAATTTCTTTTTGGTTTTATCATGAAATTTTCTGTTGAAAGTGTGGTGTATAAAATTGTTTGGATGTGGAAATGTTTTTCTGTTCAGTGCTAAAAACAGGGATAGAAAGCCCTGGTTCAATTAGGGGAGGAGGCAGAGAAGCCGAGCTACGGGGCTACGGTTCAGTAGTTTTTGCTCAAGCAGTGTATTTTTGTTAAAAAAATTATCAAAATATTAATTTCAAAACCCAGTCATTCCCACTCATTCTAAAATTCAGAACACATAAGGTTAAAATTTTAGTTCCACCTCTGATTGCAATGAGTAGTAAAAACGAGTCTAGGATTTAATTATTGAAGCGTTTTTTGGTTAAAGTAAAAAAAAAAAAAAAAACTACTATGTGAGACCTCAAATATTGAGTCAGAGCGAGCAATATATAGCTTGACAATTAAGCCTAAGCTGTTTTATATCATCACATATGACATATCGAGCATGACTCTTGAGGGAAATCATGTGGGTCTTTTGTTCTGAATAACACGAAGGAAGCCTATTGAGAGAAGTGAGAGTTCAATCGGTTAGAACTTCTTTTATGTTTGCTAAGTGCACAACTATTCAGAGACTTTCCTAACAATTGTGTCTCTTCTCTTTTTTTATACACATAATTCTATCAATTATCGGTATGTGAAATAAATAATGTATTCTTGATTGTTTTCATTCGTAGGGAAGTATACCAATAGTCCTCAAAGTGGATGGTCTTGGATTTTTGTCCTCGCTTGCCTCATGTACAAAACTTCAAGTTTAATGTATATGACCCCTAACTTGCCCCTTGAGTAATTCTTTTAACTTTTGACCTTAAAATTCTACCCATGGAACAAGTGGATCAAAAATAAAAGATCATCTCAAAAGATGTCATATTTCTACAATATTTAGTTGGCCAGATTCAATATTTTTTTTTTCTAGCCGGTATATATAGTTTATACATTAATTATACATAGTTATACATATATTATACATGTATTATACATCTGCCAGCTATTTTAGTTTAAGAGATTAAGTGAGCGGCTATTTGGGTTAATTTTTTTTCTTTATAGAAGAATTAACTCAAATAGCTACCCTTCTAATCTCTTAAACTAAAAATAGCCAGCGGATATATAATTCATGAATATTATATAATTATGTATAGTTAATGTATAATCTATGTATACCAGCTAGAAAAAGTAAACATTGAATCTGGTCGGCTATTTGTGTAACAATCCATTCACCCTACGAATTTGAGTGTCCAAAGTGACAAATGTGGGCTCCTTAAAAAACGGGAGAAATTCATAAATAGCCAGATTTACAAGTGATCATTCAAAAATAGCCACAGTTTCAAAAATAATCGAAATTTAGCCACTTTTAATGTAAAGATAAATCTGAACGAAAACACTGTTCAAATCCAGAAAAATACTCCAGCATAATATACTGGAGTTCCAGTGTATTATACTAGAGTTCCAGCAAAGTGTACTGGGACTCCAGTATATTATACTGGACTTCCAGCATATTATACTGGAGTTCCAATATAATATACGGTCCAGCATAATATGCCGGAAGTACATACACAGGTGCACCGAGCTCCAATAGATTATGCTGGAATTTTCCGTGTTGCAGCAAAATAGTGGCTATTTTTCAATAATTTTGCAAACGTTGACTATTTTTAAATGACCAGTCCGAAAACTGGCTAGCCCGTGTTATTCCACCCATGGATAGAGAGTGAAGCCCATTTAATTCCTCATTCCTTTTGGAACATCTAGAGGCTACCAAAAGTACCTGGATTCTTATCCCAGTGATCCAGCCCATTACGTTTTTTTTTCTTGGGGTTTTGACACAGTTACCCACAAAAATAAAACTATTTACTCTTGTCTATCCATTTGTTTTTCCACCCATAAACTAATTATATTTCCTACCCATAGTAGGTTTTTTGGGGAATTTTCTCTTTATTCTCCAATTCTTTTTTTTTTCTATGCTTCTTTTCTTTTCTTTTTCTTTTCTCCTTTTCTTTTTTCTTGTTTTCTTCTTATTTTTTTCTTTTTTCCTATACTAATTTTGTTTAACTTCTTTTTTTTATATTCTTTTCTCTTCATAATCTAATTTCATTTACTATTTTCACTATTTTTTATTATTCTTTTTTTTTATATTATTACTAAAGAAAAATCAAATTGTGTACCAATTAAATGTAGCTAATACAACCAAAAAAATATTAACTAACATTTGATACCAGTATAGTATATAGTTATACCAACATGGTATATAATTGTGCGTAAAGAGTTAAAAAACTTTAATTCAATTATTAAACTGAAATAATATCAGTTGTCAATAAAAAATTTTAAAAAATCTAAAAGGATCTAATTGTAAGAGTATACCGTTACATTATATAGCATACTATAATTTTGCATTTTCAATTTGTCGCTCACGCTAGGTAAAAGCTTAAAACAAATTAAAAGGGAAAAGGCAAGTGAATTTACGGGTAATAAGTATACTATTATAGTATATTGTATACTATTACAGCATATTGTTACAATATCTTGCATATTATTACAGTATACCATAACAATATATTTGTATACTATAATGGTATACTGTTGTAGTATAACTATATACTCTTATAGTATATTAGTATACTGTAGCGGTATACTGTTAGGTAACAGTGTTCTTCTTCGATTATTACTGTAGTTGTGTTCTTCTTCGATTTTCAACTGAAAATTTCGATCTCAATCACCTCAAATCAGCTCCAAGTCTTGACCAAACTGACTCAACATTTAGTTATAGTTGCCAATTAATATTTTAATCACGTCGGTCAAAATCTAATCAAACAATTACAAACTCGACATATGCAATTTATGATTTTCAAGTTTCAAGGTCTTTCAATGGTTGATCTAATTTTTCTTACTATAAATCACTATGAACTTCTCAAAAGATATTAGAAATAATTATTTGTAACACTAAACGTTCAAGTTCTGCTTCGTTGCAGGTACTAATTGTTTTGGTTTTGAAAAATTTGCTAATTACTTTTAATATTAATTGATCACGCCCAGCTATGCCTTATAAAAAGAACTAAGCGGTCGCTGCAAATATAATCCGGTTTACAAGTCCGGAGTCGAATCCCACAGAGAACTAAGGTTTAGCTACAGCTGTTCACTATCACCAAGAAGACAAGCTTGAACAATTCCTAACTTATAGATATTAAGATTCTTGTGTTTAACTACTTAACTAACAAATTAAAATAGTAAATTAACAACTAACGATACTGGGGGTTAGAGAAAAGATTAAGCAGGTCTAGAGTTATGATTTCCCCTATTGTCGGAATCCTTCCGCTATGTCTTCTATAATTTCGCCTAAGTATTCTCTACCGATCATGAGCACTCTTATTACCGTAAATCTCTCCCGAGTAATTACGATAATTTACTAGACACGCTCTCCCGAGCTACGCTAGCTGGATTTTAATACAGCTCACTTCAGATCGCACCCAAGGCTTCATTATCCCTAATCCCACCTTTAAACCCTCGGTTATTGATCCCTCATATACTCTAGGAGTGGTGTTGTTCAACAATTACCTAAATATGCACTCTCTCCCGAGTTATGCATACTAAATAGGCACAGCTAATTGAGAGCTCTTCAATCAACCAGAATATAAACGTAGTTGAACAAATAGAGAAAAGCTATAGCTCAATTATATAAAAACATAACAAGAATTTATCCTACAAAAGGTTCTATCAAAACTCTAGATAACAAATTAGCTATTCATAATAGTATGTAAAACTACAATACTAAAAGTCATAACCAACAATGAAAATAGGAAGAGGAAGGAAAAACTCGTAGAAGAATTCCCCGCCTTGCTCCTAGTGTGTTCTTGCCTCCAAGGGTGTTGTCTAACCCTAAAATAGTGTCTCTTGCCTCCTTAGGTCTAATTTGTGTCCAAAATATGTCCCCCTCCTCTTTCTTGGCCGGCTTCCTTGGTTTAATATAGGGTTTAGGGCTTAAAATCCCGTGTTTTGCACATAAGTCCCTGAAATTTCCGCCACCTGTCGCGGTTTTGCCGCGGTCGCGGTTTTGCCGCGGTCGCGGTTTTGCCGCGGTCGCGGTGGAACCGCGGCCAAACATGCCATCTGATTCTTCAGTTGTCCGCGACCATCTTCTACCGCGGTTCTGCCGCGGTCGCGGTGAAACCGCGGTTTTTCACCCTGTTCCGTTTGGGATTTGGAAAAACGTAAAACATGAAAGTTGTAGCCCTTTGAATTAGCTCTCCAACCATATATTGTGGAGCCCAAATGGAGTTTTGAGCAAAATGTTATGTCTATTTTACTAGACAGTGCGCAATATACCTTTTCAAGTCTTCGTTCGTACTTAATTATCAAATTTGACCCCCGAACACGATCCCGGCTTAATTCCTTGAGCTTTTACGCAGACTTCAAGGTTTCAAATCACTTAAAATCATTCCATAACATCTATATAGCTCGGAATCACACCTACAAGGCATAAAACACATAATTAGTGCAAAACACTAGCGATTAAAGCGCAAACTCAATTAAAGTGCAGTAAATTCGAGTGTAATAAGCGACTAAAATATGCAATTATAGCCTATCATCATTAATCATTTAATACTCAATTACTAAATTGTTAGAGTTCTACATTCCTTTAGTTAGTTGCATTTGATTTTTTTTAATTATCACCGATAAATTAAAATAAAAAACCAGCATAGCTACTAAGTACAGAGAAAGCCTATGAAACTTTTTTATAAAAGAACAAGGGGGACATTAACGTTTGGAACCAAATATAAGCTTCAGCCAGAAAGGAAAAAAAGAGAAAAGGAGAAGAAAAAGATGAGGATAAGTGCAGGGCAGTTGTAGTAGATGAAGTATGCGGGTAAATACTTTTGGTCGGATAGGTATTTAGTGTAACTAGTTTGAGAGTAGGTAGAAACGGATAATTATTTTATAGTAGGTAGGTATATAGCATAAATTGCTTTCTATCTTCATCAAATTTAATTTTCTTTTATTCATTTTTGTTTTCCTTCTACTTATAAATTAAGAGCCCGTTTGGATTGGCTTGTTTTAAGTGCTTTTAAGCTAAAATAGCTTTTAAGCCATTTTGTAGTGTTTGGATAAAGTAAAAAGGTGCTTTTAAGCACTTGTTTTTAAGCTAAAATGGCAAAAACAAGCCAAAAGCCAAAAG